CAGTTCCCTGTTAGCGCCAGCGCACCGTTCCTGGACCAGAAATGGCTTTGTTCTCGCTTGCTTCCCGTTATACATTCTGGATTTGGGCCTCGCTTAACTTCGAACTTATAGGACCTCAAAGATTTCGCCCGCCAGTCTGGATTGGACGTCGTCTACTCCGAAGTTGGCCGCGAACGGGATGGCTCTGGGTAAGTGGACATGTACTGCAGCTAGGCACACGTACTAAACCGTCGCGCAGATTCGTAGAGTATGAGACGGCCGCCGATCTGAAGACCGCAGTGGAGAAGCTGGACCGCCGTGAGTTCAAGGGGCAGGAAGTTACCTGTATCCAGGACGTCTCCGATCCTCCCCCACCTCCACCTTTCAAGCCTCGCGCTCCTTACGGAGGCCCTGGTGGTCCTGATGACCGGGGCCGTGATAGATACCGATCCCGCTCCCCCATGGGCCGTCGCGGTGGCGGATACCCACCCGCGCCTTACGACGATTACTACGACCGTCGCGGTCCCCCTCGTGGCTACAGCCCCCGCCGCGATGACTATCGCCGACGCACACCTCCCCGCGAATTTTATGACAGGCGTGATGGTGGTTATGGACGTTCGCCGCCTCGTGGTCGCATGCCTGATGAGTATGGCCCACCGCGCGCGCGTTACCCTGACGATCCTTATGATGCTAGGGCCCGACCTCCTCCCCGTGGTTACGATGACCCATACATGAACGGTCATGGACGCCCTTACGAAGGCGGACGACCACCGTCCCCACGTGGTGCTCGTCCCCGTAGCCCCGGAGGCCGCCCACCTTACGAAGGTGCAGCGGCTGATTACCCACCCCGCCGCTACTAGGCGCACGAGGTAAGTTGAGTCCATCGCGTATCTGGTTCAAAGCACTTGCTGATATCGATCAAGTCAACGTCAACATTCCTGGAGACTGCTCATCTCCTGGAACACGAACCTCCGAGACCATCATGCCCGCGGATATGGATTATGCAGTGACGGAGCCGAAAGACGAACGGAGGATTGAGTGTGCGGCATGAACCCACGAGACTGATTATGTGTTTCCTGCTTCCCGGTTTCATTTAGATGTTCCATGTAATTGCTGTTTCTGATGCGATCCCTTCCCAGTCCACTGGCCATTACGAGAGGGCGGTTTCCTTTATGCTGGATTCCTTATTGCCGTCTCAAATGCATAAGGTGGCCTAATTTTCCTGTAACACCAAAAAAGTCCTTTCCGTACATATGGACTTCGTATATCTGATTATTTGTGGCTATGGTTTGTCATGTACTCTATGGGCGGCTCTGTTCGCAGACTAGCCGCAGCGGACATGAATCAACGTACACGAAATTTGCCCCGTCCGCTCCAAATCTCTGTGAAGCCATAAGGAGTCCTGTTATCCATAATCAGATGCACGTCATTTGCAGGACACTTTGGCCATGGGCATTGGCTTTTTCTGGTTCCGTGAGAACTATGACCACTAACACGCTACCTATAGAAATGCAAGCCAGATGTAAGGACCGGCCATGTGCCCAATAGATCGTTCCAAGATCACAACATGCCAAAGTCTTGCCCTTGACTCGTTTTTGGCCTCCCATAAATAGTCTGCAATTTCTCATCTCTTTTTCTAAAGTCTTCCAATTCTTCCAGCCTCTCATCACAGACCAACACTACATCAAGACAAGAGCAACTCTACCCTATCGAAGACATGGGTTCTTCAGCCAGCAAGAGCATCGAATCAAGTTCGTCCAGCGGTGTCCCACGCTACTCCTCCAAAATCTGTCAACTTTACCTCATCAGCGCAAGCCCAGGCTCCAACACCGCACACTGGAGACTCTTCCTTGACGACGGCACAAACCAGCTGACTGGTACAACATGGGAAGTAAACTACATAAACGAGCGACCAAACCGCGGCGCCTTACTTCTTGACCAAACCTTCCCAAGAAGCGCTTCGCATCAGAACGCCTTCGAATGCAACCGGAAAAGTTTTGTCAAAATCGGTGATTTGATGGACAAGGGATCAGACGCCACGATAATTCACGGCGCACAATCTTCGTTCAGAAAGATCGAAGCGGCAAAAGAGAGAGTTCTACGAAATTTCTGTTACAAAGTGGTCACTACCAACTGCCAAAGTTTCGTCATTGACGTCTTGAGCATGCTCCGGCAATGGGATCCAGACCTCGTTGATAAGAAAGCCATCGAAACCGTTCAGCGCTTGTGCTTCCCCACGGTGCGTCTCACAACGAAAAGCAGGCAGAAGAAAATCCAGCGCCAAGATGCGAAGCATGGTCAGGCGCAACGACCAAATTTTACCTCGAGCTGTGGAGCTTTTTCTGGTATCGATATCGATGCGCCGAGAAAACATCACGACGCGCAAGGAAGAGCTGTACAGCGGAATGCGATGTCAGAGATGGTGCCGTATTCGAGATGGGAGGCCAGGCCGCAACGGGCTTCTCAGGCAGTGGTGTCGGAGGATAGAGGGAATTACACTACGATCCCTGGGGCATGGTGAACACTGTAGATTCAGAGACATAACGTGATAAATTTAAAAGAAATGGAATAGATGGTACTGCTATGTTCTAGTACAAGATTTCTTGGTGTTTGGATGCAAAACAATGTGTGTAATGACTTCTCAAAGCAGACTCTTGCGCTTATGCGACTTTTCCCTTGTGTGATTCCGTACAAGTGAAACGCCCCTCCCTAAACAATTTAAACCCAACTTGATACACCATAATGCCAAAGCAAATTCAAGATCAATAACTTCGTGAGATAACTATATCCCATCAATAACGCCGTATGCCATCGTGATCAGAACGCCCTCTAGCCACGGGACGTATCGGCCCTCTCAGATCTGTGTCCACTCTTCATCGCTAGAGTAGTCGGTCCCGGTAGCGGATAGTATGTCAACTACAGGATTGGGGATCAACTCGGGACTGGACATCGGTTCGTCGTCGCTGGAGTAGTCGGTGCCAGTCGCGGCTAGTAGGTCGACGACCGGACGAGAAGTCAACTCAGGGCTAGACATCGGTTCGTCGAACGTAGTCAGGCTCTGAACCTTGGGTCGGGACACCAACGTGAATCCCTGATCGTCTTCGAGACACTCCTCGTCGGACTCTTGGATCGTAGCTGGCTGTGCAACCTTGGGGCGACGGACAAATGTAAGGATTCCGGAATCGACCATGTTGTCCTGATCGGTCTCTTCATATACTTCGGTCTCTACAGCTGTAAAGTGCTCGCCAGATGGGTAGCATGATGGGCTGGGTGTTTCCGGAAGAGTATCGCACATCATCTCATCTGGTAGGTCCCTTGACGCAAGGAGAGTCGGACGATCGCAAGGTTGAACCTGGAGAGTGTCGAGACATAACCGCACAATGTCGAATGCACCTATGATAGTTAGCATATGATATGAATATACTTGTAGTGTCTTACACTCATCCTGGAAATTGCGTTCCATGTTCGTGCGACATAGGTCCTGGCGGAAGTCCGGGATTTCAGCAGCGATCTTGAGAAACTCAACATCCTCTCCTAGCTTGTGGTAGAGAAAATTTGAGATGCAGTAGTTGAGAAGTGACGGAACGAGATCGTGCTCCCGACGAGCCTGCTGACTGGTATAGTGACGATATACAAAACGAATAGTCTCGACCAAGTCATGGGGCGCGGCGGGTACACAGCAGGCGAATTCGAGCTGGCACGAGAAGTTGCCGTGCGCGAGAAGTTGCAATTCCGGAACATCGAAATCCTCGGCTATCTTGTACGTCTCGGCATGTGGAAGAAACGACACTGGATCATAGTCTGCTCGAGGCGGAAGATAGCTACCAGTGTAGCAGAACCGAAGAAGCGAGACGACAGCATGCTCGGATAGGGCCTCAATACTCGCTTGTAGGCGACTCTGGAAACCATACTCAAAGGCGTGGTACAGGAGCGGACCTAATACGTGGGTGTACGAAGTCAGTGGATGTTGGCATGCAGCCGTACAGGGACATTACTGACATCTATCCAAGAACTTGAACGGGCAGATGCGATCGGAGATCTGGCGGACCTCTCCACTGGGAAGGACTATCTTCAGCGTCGCATTGCTCTGGCCTAACTCCATATGCTCGTCTAGGAAGGAGAGACCATCCATGTTGAATGTGAACGGGAATGCACAAAGAAGCGAGCCGGGAGAGCCTGCACTACCCTGAGAGCTGCTATGCGGCTTGGTGGTTAACGTGAGGCCTCCGGGTGTAGCAGCGAGGCTGCTGGTGAGGCGTCGCAATCAAATCAAGCTGCCGATGTAAGCGACTAGGAGGTTGTGCGAAGTGTTGGAATACTTCGGAAAGTATGCCAAAATTTCAAAGCCTTTGACTCAATAGAGAGAATCCTGTGGGTAGGTCTGACAAGGCTCAGAAGTTGGGGTGGGTAGGGCCAGGCAACCGTGTGCACGCGGGCAGGGCCAAGCACCCGTCTTTGGAGAGTCTGTGGGCAGCGTCCAATACGTCAGAGAACCAGTGATGCCACCGGTCTTTTAGAAGTGAGTGCAATTCAGCGTGCTAGAATGTGTATGAACAGAGAGCTGTATAACAACGGAGGTGCTTGGGGCTGTCTCCATGGAGGGGTGCCGGTATGGCTGTCATGTCTTATTGGCTTCGCAAAATCGACGCCAAATCGGCATCCAATCAGTGGAAGAACCATTGTACAGCCTCACATATAGGGCTGAGATGTCAGCTGCATGTGATGTTTAGTGGTTGGTGTTGAGGGGGTCTGGTCGGTGATGTGCCGGTGCCGAGCTGGGGAAAGCGGCCCACAGCGCGATCCACTTCGCGGCGGCCGCTGGAGGCGGCTTCATGGCGGCCAATCTCTCCACTAAACTTGAACATCACACATCTTCGTCAACCGCATTCTGTGTTCTCGACGACTGAGTGTCATCAGTTAATCGAGACTACTCTGTGCCTCTTCCTACCTCTGTACCTCCAATTGAAGCCCCCTATCTCTATCTTCGTGCCGTTCGTGCACAATCTCCACTACGCCCCGCCATGGGATTCCTTTCTATTCTACCTGCGAACTTGGCTGTGGTCGAAACCTGGATCACACGCATATTCGTGAGTAGTGCTCGGCTCCATCGATTGAAAGGGATCTTCTAACGCAGAATAGCTCTTTCTCGGCCTCGTAGCCATCGGCCCATGGGCAGCGCTGCTCGTCTACGATCTTATCCTATACTGCTGTCGCGCTGGCGCATACGAGATACCAGTCATCGGCGGACGCGCTCGCGGAAAAGCGAGACCACGCGCTCCTAGCCTCACAGAGCGCCCGAGCGGCCACCGTCGGAAGTTCAGTATTGCCTCTCGAGGCATCGAAAGGCCGGTTCTGATCACAGGGGGTACCGACCCTCAGGATGCTCGGCATCGTCGTATAACGGAAGAGAAGACTGCGGATGTTTCTTGAGAGCGTAGTTGGAGACAGCCCCACAATTGAATCTCGTTCGGCGGAATGCTGCCACGCTGTTTTCAAGAGCTGGACCTCTGTGCATGCCTTCAGATACCGGTGACCGACACGGCTTTCGGTATCTCAGATGCCGGGACCCCGAATTGGAAGTCCCTCTGCAGAGTGCTAGACTTCTCGGGAGATCGACCACAGTGCGACGTATTTAAGCACCGAGGAAGCCATTGCGCCTTCATTGCACGAGATTGAACTGTGTGAAGATCCGCATAGTCTTGCGAGCGGTTGACTTCGAACGAAAGTGAGACTATAAAGGCGACAGTTTCGCTCATGTCAGCTCATGACTTGCGCAATGGCAATGTCTCCTTCCGGAGACATCATCATGCGTTCCATGCCGCATGCCTTGCTTCTGAAAGAAAGTTGGGGGCGCATATTGCTACATGTTTCAAGTGAACAGCTGCGCCAATCACGCGAGACTATGTTTCTAACGTCGCGCAAATACCCAGGCAGGCTATCGAATCCATAAAGTAGGGTGGTAAGCCGAGTGTAGCTTAGCGCGGTCTGGGTCGCGCCTTCTGTCAATAAACCTACAGTTCACGCTCACCTCTCATCAACACCACAACGACAGCTCTACCTCTGCGACTTGCTTCCACCAATTTTCTCCGCTCACAAACTAATACCACCTTCAATCAGTATCTGCTATTCGTCATGGCTGCTACCACTACCAAGACTGCGACACCGAAGCCGGCCAGCACCGCGGGTGTCAAGAAGGCTGCTCCTAAAGGCAGTCGCATCGCCAAGAAGGGCAACGCGAGAAACGCCATGATCAAGATGCAAGCATACTGTAAGTTTGCATCGTTTGACGCGTTTTGACGCGTTATTCGGACGCGTTCCTCCAGGCGCAAGAACAACACCTCATGGGACGACCGATCCGCTAACGAACGACAACAGTCAAAGCCCACCGCGATGAGTACAAGGATCTCTCTTTCAAGGAGCAACAGCAAGAGCTTGGCAAGAAGGTACGTCATATCCGTATAATGATGAGTAACCATGCTAACACTTAACAGTGGAAGGCTTCACCAGAGAACCCCAAGAACAACGTCTAATCTCACATGGAGTCGTTCAATAGCTTTCACTTTCCTCAGTCATGTTCACTTTCCTGGTCTTATCATGGATTGACGGTACGCGGCCGGCGTTTGGGTTGATGGGCGGGAACAATCACGGCGCATAGGTTACTGTCACGATCCGCTTTACAGCAATATGGAAGAAATTGATCCAACTCGTTCTTAGCATATGCACGTGTATTAACTGTGTTGTTCCTGCAGCTTCAGCGACACAAATTCTTTAGGCTAATTGCGAAGCAGTTGTACAGATCGAGACGAATCTCGGCGCCGTGTTCCGGAAGATGATCTGGCCGGCGTCGAGAAAGTCGTCCATCGCTGCAACGTGATGGCTATTCGAAAACTAACTGTGGATGAACTTCGGGGCATTGTGAGTGGCACACGAATGCAGCTAGTAGCTGCTGTCATATGAAGAAGCCAAACTATGATGGCATGACTGGTGTACAGTGAGCCAACAGGCCGCAGGTTCAATCATCAGGAGCACATCAATGAGTGAAGAAAGATAGTTGGCGAAAGGAACTGTAGACATGTCAAGCATTTTCATGAGGAGGATATGGACTGGCAAAGGAAGGATTGTTTGTCCGGTAGCGCCCGCCACTGCTTGTAAGCTCTTGGTAAGCTGACGCTGGAAGCTGCCCCGCCCCGCATCCAGGTACCGAGAGCCCCTCCGACATCATCACCTCCACCTCTTGAACTCTTTGCCGGCGCCTGCAACCCTGTCCTTCGCAGTTACGCGACCTATGAGCTTCGCGCTATCGTCAGCGGACGTCTTTTGAGATGGGGCCCGATTCGGCGGCTTTCGCGTCAAGCTTCGCGGTTGCTTTCGTTTGTCAATGTCGCAGCTAGCTTCAAGTGCACTTCCCTTCTTTGAATAGCTTCGCAAGCTTTGTTTTGTCCTTACTCTTGGATGCCCTGAAGTGTTCTTCGTCTTCGTGTGCTTGTTCCTCCGACCGTAACATCTTTCGTCTTAAGTTTGCCCAGTTTCGACTCCAGACCCTCTACAACGTCCACGTCTCATCACACGAGACCATGGCATCTAGCAAGGGCGCAGACGCCTCCACGGTTCCTGTCCTCAAAGATCTCACAATCGAAAACATCACCGAGAATGTGCATCGGATAAATTCGCAATGCGCAGACCCGCGCCTCAAGTACGTCATGGAGCGTCTGGTGTCGCATCTACACGACTTCGCACGCGAGACGCGCCTGAGCTTCGATGAGTGGATGGCAGGCATACAGTTCCTTACCCAGGTAGGACAAATATGCACAGACGTGCGACAGGCAAGTTTCCATCTGGTTCTCGTGGCATAAGTTCAAGACATCCAGGCTGTACTAATATGTCGTAGGAATTCATCCTTCTTTCAGACATTGTCGGCCTCTCTCTCCTCGTAGACTCTATAGACCATCCTAAACCGGCCTCCTCCACCGAAGGCACAGTCCTCGGTCCGTTCCACACGCACGACGCACCCTCTGACTCCAACGGCACCTCCATCTCTGCCGATCCCGACGGCGAGTCCCTGCTCGTCCTCTGCACGGTCAAAACTACGAACGGCGAGCCCGTATCAGACGTCAAGATCGACGTGTGGGAAACAGACTCACATGGCAAATACGACGTGCAGTATGAGAACAGGGGCGACAAAGCAGATGGCCGTGCAGTTATAAGGAGCGACAAGGATGGCGTGTTCTGGTTCAAGGGTATCGTACCCGTTCCGTATCCAATTCCCAATGACGGGCCTGTTGGCAAACTGCTTGAGAAATTGGGTAGGCATTGCTGGAGGCCGAGCCATATGCATTTCATGTTTGAGAAAGAGGGTTTCGATAACTTGGTTACGTGAGTCTCCTCTTCAGACCTCTTTGTTCAGGTAGCTTACTGACGCCATGTCTAGGGCATTATACGTCCGTGGTTCCGACTACGAGACCTCCGACGCCGTCTTTGGTGTCAAAGAATCTCTCATTGTCAGCTTAGATACCGTAACAGCTGAACAGGCCAAGGAGTATGATGTCAAAGAAGGATCAAAGTTGCTCAAATACGATTTCGTGTTGGTAACGGATGAGGAGACGAAGCAATTACGACATGACGAAGCGGTAAAAGCAATGAAGATGTTGGGAAGGGAGGGAATGATGATAGTCAACGGTCTGCCCGTGCCTGAGGTCGACTAGTTTGTGAAGTAAAATGGAATGTTATGAAATTCGGGGTATGATAACTAAGGTCTGGCTAATTGAAAGAAAGAAAATGTATCCGCTTGGATCACCACAAGGCTTCGAGCCAAGGCAGATGTAACGTGGAGAGCAACGCCAAGTACGCTGTGTGAAATGCAAATGCCAGAAAAAGAAGAGAATCTCGATGCCGCCGAGTCGACTGCATCTAGCTAGTGACCCTCCTCACCCACAGGGCGCTCCCGTTCGAGTTTGGATCATCCCTCTCTCTCTTCTTCCACGCGCGATGCAACTTGAGGCCAACATCGTGCTCCTCCCTGCGAATCTCATCCAACTCCTCTTGGAACGCCTTCTTCCTCTCTTCCGCGACTCTGGCCTTCTTGAAGTCGGTAAGCAACGGATTAGGCGGCGCAGCATTGTTCAAATCCTTGAGTAAACGATACACATTGTTGCGACGGATGCGTAAATCTTCTTGCTGCGATTCCAAGTAGGCGATGTGGTCGATGGCACTGAGTTGGGAAGGAGGTAGCGGAAGCGCCTTTTGTGATTTTTGTGACGAGTTGGAGAAGGTGGAGGAGGCGTAAGGGGATCTCGGGCTGGGGGTGTAGACTTTAGCCATGGGTGCGGGTTCCCTGTCCAAGGGGGGTACGGGGCGGCGACGGTTTAGGATCGAGGAAGCGGCCGATATGGGCTCGGTTACGACGCGCTTTGGTTGCGAGGACGAGAGGCCGTTGGGCGGTGAAGGTGGTGGTGAGTGTTGGTATGTCCCCGCACTGTTGTAGGTAGTCCACGAAAACCGGCTGATGGGTGCGTGCTTGTCCTTCTCTGATGTCTCTTTGTTGTATGGCGGCGTCGCAGTCCGCAAGGTGGGGTACAGCGTCTGTTCTACTGGCGTTACGGTGGCTGGGGACTGGTTCAGTTGGGTGCGATTGGTTGGTGTGATGGGGCTCGGGTACGATGTGCTTATACCGAGACCTGCTGAGGGTGAGGTTGGAGAGATGTGACCGCTTCGAAGAGGCGTGTTCTTCCCTACTTTGAGGGGAACAATGGGTTTAATGCCGTCGTTGTAGCGCATATCGTTATCGCGCGGATCCTTGGGTGCCATTTCGGTTGTTACAGTTTGAGTATCAGGCAGCTTGGGTGCAGAATCAATGGCAGCTGCAAGCGCGTTTGACCTCGCTTGGTCCGTGCTTGGTGAAATCGTCTTGCGTGGTATTTGAAGTGGTTTGTCTGCAGGCTGGTATTTGAGCGGAGGAGCGATTTCTGATCGTCCCGTCGCTCGGCTCCACGGCTCCACGGGCGGTGGTGAGCGCTTCGACCCGAAGCGGCCAACGCGCTCCCCAAAACTTGTGTTCTTTTTCTCAGGACCACTGACTGAAACCTGATACCCCATGGGTCTAGGGTCTGATGACGGCACACCTTTCGCATAAGAGCCTGGATCGACTGAAGCGGCCTTCCCTGCACTATTAGGCTCGCCTGAATACTCATCCCACTTTACTTTCGCATTTGGCGCAAGCTTACCCTCCCAGAACTTCTGCTTGGGTGCTGGCGGAGCGTCACCATTTCGAAGGACAGACGGCGCTCTGCGTAGGACGGGGATCTGGCTGCCCGCGCGGGAATCGTCTTCGAGTCTTCTGCGATCGTCGTCCATGGGTGACACGTCACGCATGGAGCGGAATCTTCGCGGTAGGTTAAAAGAGGAGTACTGTTCCGGTTCCGGAGAGCTGGGAG